TGATGAGGGGGGAATGGATCTCCCCCAGGATGGGGCAGGAGTAAGCCCCCCAAGGTGGAGGTAGAGAGTGAGGCTGACAGTCCAGGTCCTGACCGGGAGTCCAGGCTGAGCCCCGTGGGGGAAGGAGGGAGCTCACTCCTTGAATTTCCACTCCTGCCGGCACATGGGACAGTGCTGCTGCACCTGCTGAGCGTTCAGCCACTTGAGAATGCAGTGCATGTGGAAGCAGTGCGAGCACTGACCCCACACCAGCGGACAGTCGTCGCCTGGAACCTTGCAGTCTGGGCAGCAGCCGTTGAAGGCCATCCGGCAGATGCCACAGTTCTCGTCGTTGGCCACCCAGAGCCAAGTGGCCACACCGTTCCAGCACTTGATCTTCACCTTCATGGCGGGACCTCGAGTCTGAGGGACGAAGATGGCTTGCTGGATTTCGTCTGCAGACCTTCCGCGACTGTGCCCCCAAAGACTCGAGCAGCCGGGCACGGGACCACGGGGAAAAGTGCAGGGTCGGCAGGACCAGGTGCGCTACGGGGGAACGGAGGCGATGACTCTCTCAGACGCCTTCCCTAGGAAGCCCGGCGGCTGCGCTGACTGCGACCCCAGGAGAGCCCTGGGTCCGCACCCCAAGCCCGCACCCCGGGCCCCAACTCGGCCTCAGCAGCGCCCAGCCCCGCCCGCGACAGGCTGGAGGCGCGGGGAGGGCCGACCAGAATCTTTGTTTCCTTGATGTTGAGTTTCAATCCAAATTGAAAGCTGCAGTCTTTGACCTTCTACAGCAAGCACTTCAGGTCTTCCTCGTTTTCAACAAGCAGGGTTCTGTCATCTGCGTAACACAGACTGTTGATAAGTCTCCAGTCCTGACGCCACATTCCTCCTCACAGAGTGCAGCCTTCCTGATAATCTGTTCTGCATAAAGATTGAAAAGGTATGGAGATAGGACACATCTCTGGCATACACCCTTCCCAATTTTGAACCAAGCAGTGTTCCCTTGCCCTGTTCTGACAACAGTCTCGTGGTCCAAGTATAAGTTCTGCGTAAGCATGATCAATTGTTCTGGGATTCCCATTCCTCTCAGAGTCAGCCACAGTTTTCTGTGATCCACCCAGTCAAATTTTTTTGCATCATCAGTGAAACACAGACAGACATTCCTCTGGTACTCTCTGTTTTCAGCCAAGATCCATCTAATATAAGCTACAATATCTATAGTACCACGGCCTCTTCTAAATCCAGTCAGCACTTCTGGAAGTTCTCTGTTGATGTGTTGTTCCAGTCGTTTTTGATCATTTTCAACAGAATCTTGCTTGCATGTGATATTAAAGATATTGTTCGATAATTTCCATACTCCATTGGGTCACCCTTCTTTGTTGTCTACAGAAGACATACCTAATAAATGAAGAGAAAAATAGACTCAAAATCAAAACCTGGGAAAAAATATACCAAGCAAATGGCATGCACAAAAAAAGGAGGGGCAGTGCTAATCTCTGATAAAATAGATTTCAGAATGAAAATAATTATAAAAATAAAGAAGGGCACATTATATGATTAAAGACATGGTAGATCAAAAACACATAACATTGTTCAATATCTATGCACCAAATGATAGACCTGCTAAATAAATAAAACAGATTTTAATAGAACTAAAGAAAGAGACAGCATCACAATAGTGGTGGTTGTTGTTATGTGCCATCGAGTCGTTTGCGACTCATACCGACCCTATGTACAGCAGCCCTAAACCCTGCTCTATCCTATGCCAATCGCTTTGTCTCTGACACACCCATCCCGATTACTCCAGTCACTGAATCAATCCATCTCATAGAGGGTCTTCCTTCCTGCTCCTTCCCTCCACCCTCCCAAGCATGATGTCCCTCTCCAAGGACCTCTCCCTCCTTGCAACATGTCCAAAGTATGTCAGACGAAGCCCCAGAATTCTTGCCTCCAGGGAGTAGCTTGGTTTAACCCTCTCCAGGTTGAATCTGTCTGTTTTCTTGGCAGTTCATGGTACATTCAGTACTCTTCTCCAGCACCACAGCTCAAAGGCATCAATTCTTCTATCCTCCCTAGTCATTGCCCAACTCTCTGATGCATAACAAGTGATTGCAAAGACGGTGGCCTGTATCAGGCGCCCCTTAGTCTCCAGAGAGACACCGTTGCTCTTGAGTACTTTGGACAGGTCCCTAACAGCAGACTTTCCCATCGCGATATGTTTTTTTATTTCCTGGCTGCTGGTGCCAAGAGTGTTGACCATGGAGCTGAGCAAACTGAAGCTGTGAACAATCTCAATCTCTTCATCATCCATCCTGATGCTGCCAATTGGTCCAGTGGTGAGAATCTTTGTCTTCTTGACATTGAGCCTCAATCCATATTGGAGGCTTCAGTCCTTGACCCTCTGCAGCAAGTGCTCATATGTTGTTTCTTGAAATTCTTCTGTGTCAGCCAATTCTTTTAGGTACAATGACTCTATATACTCCTTCTATATTCTTTTAATGCTTCCTGAATCATTCACTGTTCTGTCCATGGCATCCTTAAGCATTGCAACTTGTGGCTCAAATTTGTTCTTTACTTTCTTCAGCGTAAGAAATGCTGAATGAGTTCGGCCCTTTTGATTTTCTGAATCCAGCTCCTTGCACATTTCATTGTAATACTTTGCCTTGTCTTCCTCAGCTGCCCTTTGAAATCTTCTATTCTGTAAGCTCTTTAACTTCGTGATTTCTTCCCTTTTCTTTGGGTTCTTGGCACTCTAGTACAATATTCAGAGTCTCTTCTGGCATCCATTTTGGTCTTTTCTTCTTGTTCCTTCTTTGTAATGATAGGTTAACTCAAAAGAAATTTAACAAAGAAGCAGAAAACCTAAACTACACTCAGGTCAGCCAACTCAATCTTGTGGATGTATTCTGAGCACTGCACCCTACTAAATCTCAATTCATAGTCTTCTCAAGTGCACATGATACATTCTCCAGAACTGATCATGCATTATGGCACAAAACAAACCTCAACAAATTTTTTTTATAATTTGAAATTTTTAACATTGAAATAATACAAAATATCTTCTCAAACCACTATGTCATAAAACTGGAAATTAACCACAAGAGGATAAAGCTTATATAGCCACCAACCTGTAACCTAACTAACACTCTGCTAGAACACAGTTGTGCTATAGAAGAAATAAAGAATGAAATAAAAAAGTTCCTTGAAACAAATGATAATGAAAATACAATGTACTAACACCTCTGGGATGCAGCTAAGGCAGTTCTTGAGCCAGTTCATAGCAATAGGAAAACACATAAAAAACAAAGAAAGTAGCAAAATTAATTACTAACTGAACACTTTAAAAAAAAGAAAAAAGAACAGCAATTGAACTCAAAGCCTCTAGAAGAAAGGAAATTATAAGAATAAGAGCTAAAATCAATGAGATAGAAAACAGAAAAACAATTGAAACCATCAATAAGACCAGGAGCTGGTTTTTTGAAAGGGTCAATAAAATGAACAAACCATTGGCAAACCTAACAAAAGAAAAAAAGAAGACACAAATAATTCTATAAAGGAATGATAGTGGTGACATTAAATAGAACCAGAGGAAATTAAACCTATAATATTTGAATATCATGAGTAGCTATATTATAATACATTTGAAAACTTAGAGGAACTGGACAAATCCCTTGAAACTCATGCTCTATACCCAGATTGACATGGTCAAATGTAGAGCACTTTAACAGACTCATCACAAAAGAAGAAATTGAGCAGAACATAAAAAGACTCCCCCACAAAAAAAGTCCTGAAGCAGATGGCTTAACAGCTGAATTCTACCAAACATTCAAAGAAGATTTATCACCAATTCTACTACTTATTTCTAAAAATAAAAAGAAGTACCAATCCTAGAGACATTTTATGAAGCAAATATTACCCCAATACCAAAACCAGGCAAAGATATTACCAAAATAGAAAATTACAGACCCTTATCTCTCATGAACATAGACACAAAAATCCTTAACAAAATCCTAGCAAATAGAATCCAAAAACACATAAAAAAAAAGTAATTCATCATGACCATGGGATTCGTAAGAGGTGTGGAAGGATGGCTCAACATAAGAAAAACAATCAACATAATTAACCACATTAATAAAGCAAATAACAAGAACAATATGATCCTAACAGTTGATGCAGAAAAGTCATCTGACAAAATATAACACCTCTTCCTGATTAAGACACTCAGCAAAATTGGAATGGAAGGGAATTTCCTCAACATAGTGAAAAGTAGATTTGCAAAACCAAAAGCCATTATCATTCTCAGTGGAGAAAGACTCAAAGCATTTTCTTTGCCAATAGAGACCAGACAAGGATGTCCATTGTTGTCACTTCTATTCAATTTTGTATTGGAAGTACTTGCTAGGGCAGTATGACAAGGGAAGGAAATAAAAGACATCCCATTCAACAAAGAGATGGTTAAACTATGGTTCTATGCAAATGCTATGCTAGCAAACACAGAGAACTCCAAGGACCCCCCCCCCAAAAAAACCAAAACCAAACAAACAACAAAATTGTTAGAGCTATTGTATTGTAGGCCAATTTAGCACAGTGGCAGGATACAAGATCAAGATCCAAAAATCAGTGGGTTTCCTCTACAGTAACAAAGAGAACTTAGAGAAGGAAACCAAGAAAGTAATACAATTTATAATAGCTAACCACAAATTGAGATATTTGGGAATGAACCTAACTAAAGACACAAAAGACCTATACAAAGAAAACTACAGAACATTTTTGCGAGACACAATAAAAGACCTAAAGAAATGGGTAAATGTGCCCTGTTCATGGATAGGAAGTTTCAATACTGTGAAAATAACCTTCCTGCCAAAAGCAATCTACATGTTCAACACTATCCCAATACAAATACCAAATTCATGTTTCAAAGATATTGAAAAGGAAATTGTCAAGTTTATTTGTAGAGGAAAGATACCCTGAATAAGCAAAGGACTTCTGAAAAACAAAAACTAAGTGAAAGGCATAGCACTCCTTGACCTCAAAACCTACCACAAGTAACCAAAACAGCATGGTATTGGTACAATGATGGGAACACAGATTAATGAAACAGAATTGAGAACCCAGAAATTGACCCATCTCTCTATAGTAAACTGATATTTTACAAGGAAATTAAACCTATCAAATGGGGAAAGGACAACCTCCTCAACAAATGGTGCTGGCAAACTAGACTGCTAACTGCAGAAAGCTGAAACAGAATCCACATCTCACACCACACTCAAAAAACAATTCAAAGTGGATCAGAGACCTAGGAATAAAGCCCAAAACCATAAAGTTCATGAGAGACAAACTGAGATCAAGCTTAGAAGACCTAGTCTACAGGATAAAAAGATGCCAAATAATACAGCCAGAAATGCACAATTTGAAAA